TGCAACAAACAAAACTGTTAAAAAATTCTTTTAAATGAAGCCAATTGATAAGTTTATGACACTAACAAGAAAAAGCGGAAAAGTACCCTTTTTTAAACCATTGGTATTAAAAACGTAAATACACATGCACTTTGAAATATCATGATAGAGAGTGTTGTTATTATTCAACAATCATGATATGCGACCCATCCCGAAATTTTTCATCTGCAAAACAAAATTAAAGATAAATTTGAAGAAAAAAAATAGGGGTTTGTCTCAGTTACTTCGGATATTTTACTTCCAATTTTACAGCGACAGAATTATGAGACTACGTACCGTTGTTTAAAGTGGAAAAAGCCCTCTATTGACTCTTTTGCAATCGACGCAAATAAAGAAATTGAACTACGCAAGTGGCTCATAGTCTCTTTCTTCAGGCTCATTTACTATATGAAGCGTTATTTGACATATTCATTGTAAAGTGTAGAAAAGAAAGAACAAGAAAAGACAACAACAAAATGAAAGGAAGAAGTTTTTACAAAGCTGTTTAGTCGCCGCTATACCCGAATATAGTCAAATTTATCGATTATCGTTATTTGCTGGATAAAAGCACAATTTTTGGTACAGGGCTTCGTTAGGACTTACTAAACGATATTAGGCTAAGAGCCCCCGGCAACAAAATCGATTAAAGGGTGTGGGGGCGGGAGCGTCTTTTTGGAGCCCCCAAATAATTTTACAACATTGATTTGTTGCTGTACAAATGCCATTTTTGGTACAGGGCTCCCTTAGGACCTTCTGAACTATATTAGGGAAGGAGCCCCGGCAAAAATATCATATAAGGGTGTGGGTGGGGGCGTCGCCTCGTAGCCCCCAAATATTTTATAAGATAATATAACATTGGGTTTTTGTGAAACCCATGGGGCCCCCAATCGCACATATATGAATAATTATGCCGGGGGCTTCTACCCTACCATCATTCAGCACAGGCGCGGATCCAGGGGGGGGGGTAGTGAGCACTATTTTTTAAATTTGTTTTGCTCCCCAAAATTAGAAAATCGCGCCGGCCGAAAATTCGCTCAGTGGGGGGGGGGGGGGGGGTGGAGTGTCGAAAATTGAAAAATTTTCACCTTAAGGGGGAGGGGGGGTTCGGGCTCCCCGGGCACTCCCTGGATCCACCACTGATTCAGCAGGTCCTAATGAAGCCCTGTACCAAAAAGGATGACTGTACTACAAATCTCAATGTTATAATACCTTATGAATTTTATGTGGTCTACGAGGCGACGCCCCCGCCCACACCCTTAAATGATATGTTTGCCGAGGCTCCTACCCTATTATCGTTCAGTAGGTCCTAAGGAAGCACTATACACAAATTTTGGGCGACCTTCCACGCAAGCCGCCGTAAGTGGCGCTAGGGGGGCAGCTGGGGGCTTCTGGATAGCACCTGAATGGGAAAGTTGAACGAGAGCTCGTTCGTACTTAGGCCTGCATCTACTGAGAGTGCCTACCGTAAGATCGAACTCACGCTCCAGCTAGCTTGAATTATCTACAAATCATTCCGTCACTTCTTCAATACAATGTAACATGATAATGATATGTGTCTACGATTGCGACGCACGCCAATGACGGACATCATCTACCCATATCGTAAATGATAAATTTAGTGCCGAGCTAATACTACAATGATCGTTGCATCAGTTACAAGCATGCAAGATGAAAGCAAGCTGATAAATGATAGTAGAGCTCACATTGATTCGTATATACCAAAAATGGCGCTTTTGATCTGGCAAGTAACGGTAATTTCACTAAGCCACCTGAATATTAAGCTATTTTTTCACAAAATTTCTCGTACATTGATTGCTTGAACAACTATGGTGATTATTATTTGGTCATCAATGCCGATCAACTTATTGTTAAAATGTGACAAACATTTATCTTCATGTGATTTATACCGCCTTGGGAGAGAGAGAGAGAGAGAGAGAGAGAGAGAGAGGGGGAGGGAGAGAGAGAGAGAGAGAGAAGAGGGGGAGGGGTGATGATGACATTGGTGATGACAATGATGACTCTCCCTGTTGAATTGCACGACAAGGTTTATTTTTTTCTGTAGTTACATGTACTTATTTCGATTTAGTCATACAAAACATTTGAATTTAAAATGCACAATTAAAAGGTATAAGTTTACTTGTTTTTGATAAAGGAAATTGCTTTAAGGAGTGGGATATTATTAGTACATGCTTTAATATTATTGTATAAATATCATTATTATACATGTATCATCACCATCACCCTTGGTGCCATCATCATCACTACTACCATCATTTTCACCACCACCATCATCACTACTACCATCATCATCACCACTACTACGATCACTATCATCATTATCACCACCATCATTACTACCATCATTATCATCACTACTACCACCATCATCACTACTATACTATCATCACTACCATCATCATCGTCGTCACTACTACCATCATCATCACCACTACTACCATCATCATCACCATCATCATCACTACTACAATCATCACCACCAGCATTACAACTTTCATTATCACCATCATCACCACCATCATTACTACCATCATTATCATCATCATCACTACTACCACCATTACCACCACCATCATCATTACTATACCATCATCACCACCATCATCATCGTCGTCGTCACTACTACCATCATTATCCCCACTACTACCATCATTATCCCCACTACTACCATCATTATCCCCATCATCATCATCACCACCAACATCGTCACTATTATCATCATCATCTTCATCTATTCACAGTAAAGTTTTCAATGAATTCGGTGTTGTCTGCCAAAGTTAGCTTACAGTTTAAATTTTGATATTAAATATGCAAATCATGTAAGTTCCACTGCAAACCACCCTTAATGCTGTGGTTCATAATTTGAAGCAGTTGATAATTGTCATAGATATTACAAATTCAAAATTATTCAGTCTAGTCCATTTTCAAGGTGGCATATTTTTACAAGTTTTAACTTTCTTATTGTAATTTTAACACAACTATTGTGAGAACATGAAAACAGAATTTAAAATTCTTGATTTCAACAATTACACCGTAAAACTTTCATCCATTTGAAAACGTTACAACTACATGTACATTTATTTCTAAAAGGGCCCTAATTCACCCAGTCAACCTTTCATTCTTAAGTTACAAAAAAATGCATCCCCAAAAATCACATTTACAAGGAGTATGAATAATTCACTTGTTAACTCTATATTTTATATCTCAAACAATATTGTTGACATTTTCGTAGCACATGTACATTGCAAAAAGGACATGTACACGCATACAGTGTAAGCCCATTGACATAACATGATGGAACTGACAAGGAATATCCATTAGTTCACAGCATATGCTCTGAGGAAAAGTAGAAATATTGAAGAAATACATTGGTAAAAATGTAATGAACTGGATAATAATAACAAATTATGAAATATTCTAAGTTATTCCATAATACACATATATACATGTAATATGTATGTTAATTTCAATTAAACTGTTCTGTAGTTGTGATGTTATGTGGACAACCCTCACATTTGCTTTTATTGACGCAAAAAATACATTACAGGATAAGAGAAATGTAATTGCTTTGGAAATACTTTCTTGGCATCTACTAAATGTCCCTTTACTTGCTGGTTATAGTGAACAATACAAACAATGGTAATTAATCAATCAGCAGTTTTTCTATCTTTAAGTCCTCCAAACTATATTAGCTATAGAAACTACATGTACAAGATTTGATATACCCGAACATTTAGATCATTTGCTGACATTTAACAAAAAAGATCCATTACTTATTTCATCTGGGGACAAAATAGTATCTCATTTGAAAACTTACATTTTAGTTGATACGTATAGAGAATATATGTAACAATCTTACCTCAATCTTACATTATTCTTTACACTACCGTTTTGGAAAATTATGACATATTTTTTTTTGTAATGAACAAAGTATTATGCTGAATCATAAATATGCAATTATTACAGCTTTGATACCAAGGAAGAATCATATGCAACAAACAAACATGTACATATTCACATCATTATGGATACTCATGATTTTTTTTTTTTTAAAGCTATCCTCACACTTTTTCCTTCTGAATATACAATGAGGTATAACATACCTTTTAGATTCAATGGCGATTTAATCAATTCATAGTGAGCATGCTGTAAATATATTCTTACTTGACCAACTATACCTGCATGTATCATAATGCAAATGCATTTTTCTGAAATATTGAAAATAAAAGAGCACTGTTTATGTACTGTTAAGCCAGGATGTGAAAATAATTGCACAGGAAATGACAAGAATGGTTGATGATACTTTTTTTTGTTTGGTAACATGCATTACAAAGACATTAATGTATGGAAATTCATAAGTATAACATCCGTGCATGTCAGTTGAAGGAGTGTTCTAAAATTCCCTTTTTAGGAAACTTCCAACTTTAATTTTAAGACTACAACAAATTTAAAGCGTTTTGCTGCTTTTTCTCATCAATTGATGTACCTAGTAACATGCTATTAAAGTAAATCAATGCGGTTGTAGTGAAGAGAAAAGAATTGCACTAACTCGTACATGGATCCTGACAAGATTCAGATAGTTAGACAGTGAAATTTTTATGACTTACATTTTGATTTTCAAATGACAGTGTTTCTCCCTTTTACATTTTAATGTTTGATGAAATTAATAACAAGCGTACTGAACTGAAATATTGCCAATTAAAAAGCATTGTTTATGTGCTACAGTATAAAGCAACATTCCTTTTGAAGGAAAGGATAAATGATCCAATATAATGTCTATCTGATTCTTAGCTTCCTTCACCTTCACCTTCACCTATCCCACAGTCTGGCTGACCCTTGGGGCACCACTGAAGATTTATACTACCAGCTTCCTCCACTCCTCGTGGTTCTTGGCTTTACGAAGTATGATGTTTCAGTCAAGGTCACTCGTTAATGTTGTCTTCCCATCGTTTCCTCTGCCTGCCTTTTCGTCTCCCTCCTTGTACTGTTCCATGTAGAATAGTCTTGGCCAGTCCAAATGATCATGTGACATACCCATACCACTTTACTTTGCATCTTTTCACTGAAGTCAGGAGGTCTTCATACGGCCCTATGGTGTTTCCAATTCTGATTTTCACTACCTCGTTGGTTATGTGATCTCTATACCAGATACTGAGGAGTTTGCGGAAACATTTCATCTCCAGTGCCTGTATCCTTCTTTTAATGTCTGCTGTCATGGTCCATGTTTCACATGCATACAAAAATATGGACATATGGACAAGATCCTATAACCGATTTTGAATGGGTGGTATTCGTTTTCGACTGAAACACTGCACATGTGTGTTACTTCCAGCCTGCATAGAAAAAGAAGAAAATGATAGCGTGAATGGTAAAAATACAACAATCGCGTAAACAAATCAAAATTGATTCTATCAGGGTTTTACAAAAGGTCTCTAATAAAAAATTTAAAATCATATCAATTCTTTAACCTCCATGTAACAAATAAAGTGGGATAGACTTCTTTTTTAAATTCATGTATGCTCCAAAGCCTTTCTTTTAGGAATGAATGAATGCATCTAATTAAGAACACAAACTGATTATTATCGAACATGTCATTATCAAGTCCCTAGATATCATTCTTTATATACTGTACATTTATCTATAGAGAGAATGATTGGAAATTCAATTTTAAATATATATCTAAAGGCTATCCTCCTACATACGTGGAAAAGGTTCTCTCATACTGTAACCACTTTGACATATAATCTATTAAGAGGTAATGACCACATCATCTTGAAAAGCCTTGTGAGGCATTTTTTCTATCTACACATATAAGTTATAAAAAAAAACATGAATGGTGCCACTTGTTGATTTCCCCTTTCTGTAAAGGAGGTTTAATTGAAAATTGTATAGTTTAATAGAACCATGATCATAGATTTGCAGGATATCCTCCTGAATATGATAAAGTTTATGGGTGAGTGTATATTACATGTAGGTACATAATAATTACAGTACTGTTTCATCAGGGTTAGCATTAAAACAGTTATAAATCAAATCATGAAAACATGAAAATATGAACTTGCAAAGATGCATTACAATTAATCTATAACTATTTAATTATATTGCGAAAGTGTATTGGAAAAAGAGGGAATGTTCACTACACACACTGATGAAACTTGGTTATCAAAGGGGAAGTCTACCTTGATATAATGATGGTTTTGAGAAAAGCAGAAAAACTACAGACAAAAAACTCAATGACCAAAACAACATGTCTGCAACTACCTAAAGAGAAAGGAAAAAAATCAACTACAGGCAATTTCGGAAAGAGTTCCATATATATAACCCCACTAAAATCGATGCACAGCTGTATAGCCTACCCTCACTCTCATCCTAATCCTAACCCAGCATACCCATATTTTTTCCTTCAATTTTAGTGGTGGTTACGTGTACATATGGAACTCTTGTCGTAATTTTGATGGCCTTGCAGGGTTCATCTTCTGAAACTTGCAAACATTACAAAGATGTATTTACAAAGATGTATTATAGAATCAGAACATAATTGCCGGAGTTGATTTGAAAGTTGTTGGAATGGTGTTAAATGCAAATTAGCATCTTGTGAATGGTGTAGACTTTATTTATTGACATTCCTCTTGCAATTTCTTTTTAAGGCTACAAACATTACTGTTATGATAATTGTAGATCTATCACATAAAAGATGACAAGTGACGTTTGAAATTAGATTTGGCTTCCTACATAATTAATCATAAAATGTCTCAAATTTATTTGCTTTGTGTTTCTGCTACGTGTATACATGGTGATGGTCTTTCTCTTGCTCCCTTATTACTCTGCAAGGAAAGACCCAGTATTTAACAGCTCATTGCAAAAACTATATTGTGTCTTGAGTGAAGCCCAAACTGGTTCCTGCTGCTTAGCCTTGGCTGCATTCTCCTTATAGTCTTCTAGCTCAGATCCTCTCTTCCACACTTCATTTCATTATCGCAATTTGTTCTTATATCTTATGGGTTACCGGTACATATCCCTAATCTATGTGAATCATGCATTATGTTGCTGACTGAAGAAAGCAATTTCTAAATTTGCAACTTAAAAGATCTAAGCATACGTCAAAGGGCTGGCTCAAAGAATACATAGAAGCCAGAAAAACAGGAAGGGGTGGGGGGGGGGGGGTTGGACTCAAATTCATAAGATTTCACAAGAGGACTTTATGAAAGCAGGTCATTTTATACAATAAATAAATATAGTTGTACTTTGAATCATCTTCACATGAAAAGGACTTACAGGTAAGTAAATGTTTTTAAGATATTGTTACATGTACCTGCTACTGCTACCTGGAGCTAACCCTCGTCGCTGAGAAATAGCCTTGAAGTATACTGTTTGGTTGAACGGAAATTCCATTTCAGCTGTATACTACCGCAAATGTCTGACAGTTTGCTCCAAAGAAGACTGTAGTTTGGGTAAGAGCAATAGTTACAATTAAGTATAAGTATACACATGTAAAGTTGCATTTATACAGAACTATTACAGTGACATAATAACAATATTGCAACTTCCTGCGATCAAAAAGGGGAAGAGAGAGGTAGCTAGAGTGATTGAAAGTAAAAAAAGGGAAAAAAAAGAGGGAAAAAGAGGGATAAAAAGGTAGAAAGAGAGAGAGAGAGAGAGAGAGAGGATATAATTGAATCAGGAGCTGCCAAGACATATACATTTCTACTCATATGAATCTGCATAATAATATACAATACAAAAACTACATGTAGGTATTGTTAATACATGTTCATGCAGATCTGCTGAAATGGATGATATAAAATCAATGTTTGGTAGTTGTTGCTTAACTTGAAATAAATATTTGAAGAGCTGCATGAATAAGTATATTATTTTCTTTCAAATCAATGATGGTATTGTTTCCAAGAAATAAGAGTGACTTAAATTGAAAGTTTGTTTTAAAATGTAGAAGCCACAGTATTCTTGTGCACTGATGCATGCAACATGCTATCTTTAACATTTGAAATGTGATACGTCTAGCAAAAACAATCCTAACTTAAGTTTGTGGGGTAGTATTGTTCCTTGTACACAAATGGTATTTAGATAATACTAACACAGCACTGCCAACAAAATGAATGGATGAGTACCGTTTAAAACTTTAAAATGTATCCAATAAAAATATTGTTGCATATTCTTTTTAGACAGTAGACACCCTGTAGAAAAACAAAAATCCTAAGATTTTACTGCAAGCTATAATTATTATTTCATTTGGCATTGCAACAATGGAAACAATAAATTACTGCTAAAATGTATGGACAGTCAGATTTTATGCAAATTTAGTCTCAAAGTTACTATTCAGTGCGTATAATAAAAAAAATGTACCAGTTCCAACTTTGGTAACTTAATTATAAAGTTGATGTGCACTGTAAAACTTACAGGTTGCAATCCACAGCAGTCATTAATTTTGCACAGAGGGGGGGGGGGGGGGGGGAACAAATTTCCACACCCAACCCTCTTTTAAAGACTAAAACCATAGACCGCTAAAACCAAGGAACGGCTCTACGTAATATGTACACTGTATACAATATATACCAAACTGAATGGAAATCATACCAGAGTTGAAGAATAAATGAAAAATAGATGTGCATAAGAATAACTTTGACATAGACACACACAAACAAAAATCCAATAACTTTTAAAAGGAAGACTGGCCAACTTTTAATGCTACATGTAGTATATACATGTAGGAGATTGCATATACTGTAGGGATAAGGGGTAATCTTTTGGAAATTGGATCAAAATAGAAAAAAAAATCATTTAAAGGAGAAAACATTATGCAATTAATATCTTTGTACAGGAAATAAATAAAATATATCAATAAAAAACAACTACAAACAAACAAAAATAAAGGATAATCAGCTGATTATTGTTGGAGAAAAACATTATCTTTTTAATATGCAAATTATACTTTAGTTTCATTTATTTCTATACAAATTCAGACAAATTGCAAAATATTATGGTAATGAAAGATAACTGACCATGGTTAGTTAAATCTTAGGTAATCAATAGTATTCAATGGTTTTGGATCCTCAGAGAAACATGTATTTTAACTCAAATTATATTAATTAATTTAGCTTTACCTAATCTATAGAACATAATGGAAATTGAATAGAAAAGCTGTATTTTCCACTCAATAATATGACTCTTCTGAAAATATGTGCACATGTACATGTAATGTACATGTAGGGTCTTACTATATTAAAGATTTGTAATAAATAGTTTTTAAAATGGCATAAGAATACGAAGAGGGAGAAAGTGCAACATGGATGCTTCACATTATACACTGTCGCTCATATAGTTGGAATATTTTTGTTTTACCCCACTTTATGGAATTATTTTTAAAATAATTTAAAAATAATAGATCTAGATAATAGTATCCATTCTCCGATTTTATTGAATAATAATTTGACAATGTGTGTTTTGCGTGACTGCTAAAGCATGTGTATGCTACTATGCTTATCAAATAGGGGACCTACGCCCTTAAGTCATAAATGACAGTAACGAGGATTAATGCCCCACAAAAGGGCACTAATATAGCACATCGACACGGTTTTGATCCTGGGGCCTCACAGTTACGAGGCCATTGCTTTGTCACTGAACCATGACTGTACGAAGCGGGGGCTAGGATAGGGGGCAGTTTCCATAAACAAAATAAAAAACAGAAAATGAAATTTATTGCATTTTACCCCGGTCCCCAACATAAACAAATCCTCTGAATGGCCATGCATTATGGCTCAAAAGCTGTTCAGTTTTCTATTAGAGGGATATCAGATGGATATTTAAAAAGGGGTGATGATGTTAATGCAGAGGTGATAGAGAAGGGCAGATTAGAAAATAATTCTGAATTCTGAACCTTACAATTTTCCTTCTACATACCAAAGTAATTTACATTTCATTTATTTACTGACAAATAATTGCAGTCACTTTTGCAATCAATAATAGTCACTCTTTCCAGTTTATTATTTTCATACATGTATGATCTCCTTTTCTCTCTCTTTAAATATCTCTCTCTCTCTCTCTTTCTCCTTCTCTCTTTGCAGCTGCAAGTTCCAGGTACTGTTTTGTTTTAAGTTTGTGCAATGTTAAGCACCTAACAGGAATAAAGGTACATGGGTGTCATTGGAAATAGGGTATTAAGGAGGGTACTTTTGACAGACTTTGTTTCAAATTGGCATCCCAAATATCTAGCTACAGATACGGGGTAATAAAGTGGACATGTACATGTATGTAAAAGTAGCTGCACAAATCTAGAGTCTGCTTATCGTGCATTTTATAGAATGAAACGGGATAGTAACTTTGGAGCAAAATACTATAGAACATAAATCGGTTATACAAATATTAACACTTGGGATGAAGAACAGGAAATCTGAAAATTAATGAATCGTCATTGATGAGAAAAATAAAAAATCACATCATTTTATTCATTAGGTCATTTCATTGTGATGACGAGTAGGTGATTAGAATTTCAAAATGTACCCAGGAGAAATCTGCCCAGATAGAAAGCTTGTGACATATTTACATTCAATATCATGCAGCACTTTACAGTTTTCTATTCTTCTGTTTTATTATTTGTTTAAATTTCTCCTTTTATTGAGATAACCCTATGTTAGTCTTTTTTTCCTTCTGTTTTCCTCTTTCTCTCATTTTCTATGTTATTCCTTTTTTATTGTCTACATCTTTTTTCTTCTTTTTTCTGTCCTCGCTTCATGTTCTCTTATTTTATCCTTCTTTTATCTTTTACTTTAATATCTTCTATTCATATACTGTTTTTTATATTCTTCTTTCACTTTCCCCTATTTCTGTCTACATAGGATATGACTTTTCACTCAGTTTTTGTCTTCTTTCATTGGTTCTTCTCTCTTTCCCTGTGTGTGCCTTTATTTTTCTCATTTGTATCTAAACAGTTATCTTTGTTCTTCTTCCTTCACTCATTTTCTCTTTCACACCTTTTTCGCATGTATTCTTTATCTTAAATGTTATCATCCTCCATGTTTACAATCAACTATGTTTATCTTTATTTTCTCATTCATATCACCTCATGACTGCGAATGGTGGTCATGTTTTACATAAAAATGTAAGAAAACAAAAATGACATAAACTCACTAATGCACAGAGAAGTTGCCCACTAATACCTTCCATTTTTTTATAAAGAAGAAGCATCCAAAGAACAGGAAATCATTAATAATTGGGGATGTGTCAATTTTGGTGGTGGCCTACCTCTTTGTTGAAGCGTACTTAAAAACACCAGAAAAATCTCACAAATTAAAAAATATAAATCCTTTTCACGATTTAGAATCTTATTTCCATACAATTCCATAACTTGGATCTCTGTCACCTTGATCAAGTGAAATTTTGAGGCTTTTTTTTTGGGGGGGGGGGGGCTGGTGATTTATTTCCCTTGTCAAAACTCACACACAAGTTTGAGAATACTCACAGCAGTTGTACTCCACCATAGCTTTACAAAATGTACCTGTTGAAGAGGCTTCAATATGTCTTGTGTTCTAGTATTAATAGCAGGGATTGACCATTCATAGATATATAAATGTACATGAGGAAAAAATTATTCAAAATTTCCCTTCAACTCTGAAACACAAAATATGTACGTGTAGCATAAATTACAATACATGTATGGGTTGAAGAGTCCCTGAATTGAGTTTTTTTTTTAAATACAATGTAAGAGAAACAGAATGGCAAAAGTTTGAAATAAATCAGACCAATACTAAGAGTTATGAATGTTTGAAGTATGAGATCACTAAATAAATGTGAATCTCAAATTGGCAATTTGGTACATTCATGTAGACATTGATAACTCTTCTGTTTGTTGTCTACTTCACCTCTGAAACATACATGTAGCATAAATTACATTACATGTGTGAGTTGAAGAGTCCCTGAATTGGGTTTTAAAAAAATACACTGTAAGAAAAAGAGAATGGCAAAAGTTTGAAATACATGATGTAGACATGTATGGATAACTCTCCTGTTTGTTGTATACAAAACATAATCTTAAGTGCCTTCTTCCTTGTGGAAATTATCAGTTTATTTACAGGTCCTCTTAAGATATAAAGAACCTTCTGAGTCATACATGTACATGTTTTTTTTCTTTTTCATTTACATTTTAGTCATTCTGTGTGTTGGAACAAATGGAAAAGTTGTCCGCCACTACATCCTATAGACGTTACTGATTCAGCCAATTTGAAGAGCCCATACCTACATGTTTTAATGATTACAAATTTACAACTTCAAAAATGTGTACATGTAACTTTGTCACTTTTAGTCTGATTTAAATTTAAATCAAATTGTCCCCATTGTGCTTCTTATATTTGTTCAGCCTTCCACTGGTAGTTTGCTAATACTAGAGAATAAGGTGGATTTCCCTTTAACATTAGGTATATTAAATCTTCTGTGAGAAGAGAGATTATGGTGTCTGTTTTTCACTATTGCAGCAGTGCAGTGGCAGATCCAGATTGGGGGGGGGCCGCGGGACCCCCTCACTTGGCCCCATAAACAGGTAAATTTAACCTTTTTTTAGATTTAAAAAAGACGCCCCCCTGGAGAAAGGGGGGAGCAAAGGGGGGCCGGGGGGGGTGGTGGGTGTTAACTCGGTGCTCAACATTTTTTCACGAATTGGGCCCCCTTTCAGCCGGCCCCCTCCCTTTCTGCAGACTGGATCCGTCCCTGCAGCAGTGAATTCCACTACAGTCACATAAAGGTCCCAATAGTGTCAACAATTAATTTGGATAAACTTGCATAAATTTGCATAAACTTCCATAAATGTGAGTGCAACCAAGATGATCAATTACAGAACAGGGACAACCAACAGCTTGTTCGCTAGACTGGTTAGAATAGCCTTAGGGCTAGGTGATAACATGAAATATGATATGGATGTCACTAAGCCTTAATTGGCACCCATATCGAGAGTGACACACCAAATTGCTATCCCTCCAGTATCAAATATTTACATTTTTTGTTAAATGTTTGTATTATTTTAAAGTGATTTGTATGAGAAGAAAGAAGAGTTTATATTACTAGTCCTACAGTATAGTAATACTAATCATACTAGTATTAACAGCTACCACCAGTGGGTAAGGTTATTTTAGTGTGGGTACTTCTAGTGGTTATTATGAACAAATTTGAATTTTTGTTTTATATCAATTATCAGTCTTGATAGGGGTACGGGTATCAATTAAGTGGCTCGGTAACATTGCCTCAGATTCTGAAGAAAAAAACTCCTGGATTTAGCTCATGCTGCAATCATGATTACAAACATTTAGGTCAGTCAGGAATCCCATGACTTTACAAGCCGATTGCCTAGCTGTCTGATTATCAAGATATTTATGATTGGAAATCAAAATTTCATTTTTTGTTTACCTAACAGTTTTTTATTACATTCATGTACACTACAGTCTTTTGGGGAAAATGAGTAGACTATGGTAAAAATGGTAACTCAAACTAACAGATTTTTACTTCTTTGAGGCATTTCTATCATGATCATTTTGAAGCGCAATTTTGTTTAGGGCTTCAATATTACACCATATCACAGGCACTGATAACACGTAGGGCCATACAGCTCAGATTGAATATTATTAAATGATGGGTATAGGCCAAGTGATATCAATGTTATTAGATCTACAACCCGCGTCTATCAGCTACCATGAGCTGAGGATGCATGATGACACCGACAGTAGCCTATACGTGTGAAAATTTGATGCACATGGGTCATATGGCAAGATTATTAAGAAATCTGATTTGAACGTCATATACTACCTTACGTAAAGTCCACGCCTAAAATGCAATCATTAGAGTCACAGTTTTTGATATTTTATATCGTATTCCACCCAGGCCTGCAGGGCAAAACCACTCCAGCAAGGCTAGAGTCAATGCTTAGGCGTATTTTCCTCTAGCGCTGTTACATGTACGTGCTGAGAGGCAGCAATAGCACACGATGAACACATTGCACACAATTGCACACTAATGCACACAATGTATACAAAGTGGTTGATTAGCAAGTTTGACAGTAGACTCACGATTTGAATTTTTGAATTTTTCTTTCTAGTCTAGATCTATATGACTATAGACTAGATTCTAGATCTCTAAGTACATGTATAACTATAACATAGACCTAAGTTGAAAAAATTGTATGCTATTTAGGTGTCATCAACTCCCGGCCCCCCCCCCCCCCACTCCGAGAACGGATGGACCCCATGCGTGTTACCAAAATGTCCTTTTCGTAACAAAAGAAAAAGGTCGACCCGTATTGACTTTACCCCGGAATGACCGCATGCGTGTTACCAAAATGTCCGGTAAAGGGGTACTTTTCGTGCGACAAAGTCCGGCCCGAGAATTGTAAAAAAAGGGGTGTATTTGACTTTTCACCCGGAGATTTCTTTAAAAAGGGGGTGTTTTTTCTTTTTTCTCTCATCTTTTTTGACTCCTGAGAAATTATTCTGAATTTAGGGGGGTGCATTGAGCATTTTTCCTGATTTAGGGGGGTCTCCAAGGCAGGAAAAGCCTGTGAAAAGCCCGCGAAAGGGGGGTTCGAAAATGTTGGCAGTCCTCAGATAGGGGGTGCTTTCAAAAAGAGGGAACGAGCATATGCATACCCTAAATAACACTGAGTGGGGGGGGGGGGGCATCAACTATCACTAAAGTACCGATTTTGAGTGAAATCAGTTGAGTTTTGTACAGTGTAGTTTGAAATGCTGAAAATCAATATGAACAGTTTTTAATACACAGCTGCACAGCCAGGATAGTAATGCAGCTATGTGTGGGCAAAACCAGGGACATGGCTCGTGATGTCCACCAGTCTAGGTATCCTGCCGGGCGGGAGCGGCGGGCCCGGCGCACCTGGTAGGGCTATTATTTCCATTTGAATGTGCAAGTTAGATTTATTTAAAAAAAGAATAAAATACGGTGTTACTGTAGAACCTACCTTAATCAGACGGATGGGCACATAATAGAGACCTATCTTGATGTCAGGATACTAATGTGGTCTAGTTGTTTCAGTCGGGCAACCGTGTTCGTGAAAGAGAAGAAAGACAGCTGCACGATGCGATGGAGAGTTAGCTCGAGAGCGGGCTGCCGTCGCGTCCGGGGCATGCATCGCAGGCGGTCAGATCCGAGCTTCCAGCGTGCAGGCCGTGGATGCGCCAGATTCAGAGCGAGTGCTAGTTTCTCGAAACTGCCATAAGTCTAAGCTCGTGGAGATTTGGTAGAAACACGTGTTAGATCTCTATCACACGTTTCAATACGATGTCTAAAAAGTTAGACTTAATGACGGTTTCGTGAAACCTCCCCAGGTGTTCGGTGTCGGGGATCTGGGCAGCGTTTCATGAAACCGTCATAAGTACAAGTCCAACGACATCCCATTGAAATGTGTGTATTAAGTTTAACACACGTTTCAATGGGATGTCGGTGAACTTGTAGTTATGACGGTCTCATGAAACGCTGCCCAGATCCAGTGGATGCCTGGTACTGGGAGGCGCACGCCCCCCCCCCCCTTTTTTTTCTCCCGAAAAAAATGTGTTCGCATACATATTCTGTTTAAGCATTTGGATAGGCCTCAGAATCTGCCAAAAGGCTAAGATTATCCGGGGACCGCATCCAGTTGAAGGCTTCATTCTCGCAATTTCGTTTATTTCAAGCTTCCTCCCCCCCCCCCCCCCCCTCCCCTGTAAAGTCTTTGATCTGCCCCTGGATGTATGGCCGGGTAACCTGGCGCTACAGTCGTTTGTAGAAAAAAATGTTGCTGGGCGCTGTCGCCTGGTTAATGAGTCTAACCACAAAAAGTAGGTCTTAAAATAGAGTTAATGACTACTGGACGCAAATCAAACACATGTTGGATGTGATACAAAAACGGGTCAATACATATTGCATCATTTTTCCAAAACTGGTCAATGACTTTAATGTCGCAGCTCGTATCGGGTGCGTTTGGTGTGATCGGGGCTTCACTTGAATGTCTTGATCTGCACAGTTTGAAGCGTGAAGTTGAACGGGAATAAGGAATGGCAAGAAGTCGCGGGGCCGTTATAGACCTCGAGATCGCACGGGATTGCAAACACTCTAGGAGCGCGTTCGAACGCACTAAGAACGAGATGAAGATGAGTTGAACTGTCTCTGAACTGGTGGTCTGGTTACAAACTAGTTAGAACAAATTGCGAACTAGTTAGAATGGTCAATGGTTTGGACGTAATGGAAACGACTTGTAAAACTAGTTAAAAACTAGTTAAAACTTATTATATACCCTACTTAAGAAATCCAGCCATCTGATTGGTCGAAATTGCAGTCGTGGTTTTAGCCATTCCCGTAAATAAACGAAAAATGCCAAACCTGTGTAATAGTTCTAGAGTAAATCAATAAAATCCCGGCAAAATTCCAGTTACCGGGAAAATAGTTAAATCTTGCTGAAATACCCATTGGTTCACGTGTTAAAATCTGGTTTGAGCGAGCGCGGATATCATACATTTTGTGTGTGCGAATTGGTCTCTCGCGCTAGCTTAATAAGACGTACGATGTCGATCGTTCTACTAAATCCGGCCTAGATTCTACTTATAGTTTCCAAACAACGCAAAAATGGCTGAAGAAACTCTTTCTAGATTTCAACAAATAAAAAGGTAATAAACAAGGTAATATGTTGGGAACAGAAATGATTTTATATGATATTTGAACTGTGAGTAGGAATTCTCATTTCGGAGGTGAGGAGGGAGTGTGTTCCATAGTTCAGAGCCATAACTTCACATACATGTACACATAAGTAAATATCGAAAATAAAATACAATATTTTTCTGTTTGACGTAATACTGCAAAAGTTTACTTTATGAGACATCATAACGGGCATAAATGATTTTACAGGCTTATGTGAAATAAAGTGGTAATATACATGTACGTGCTCGTTTGAGCGTGTTTGGGGCGTGCATTGATGCAGGTTCATGCCATAATGTTCTCTGTATCACAATGGCGCCGGTTGGGTGTGTGCGATTCGCTTCATGGTTAACATGTCTTCTTGCAGTCTTACAGTTGAATAGCTGCTACGGTCGTAAGTGATTTTCAGTAGCTTTCATATCTCATAAATTTGTACCGTTTCATTTGAATATTTTATATTTTTCATAGAAATCATATATATATATATATATATATTACTTGAACTTATAAAAATTGTTACTTTTAATTTTGATTTTGAATATTAACAGTATCTTGACCAACCACATTTGTTTAATCATAACTGTATATATTATTTCCGACAGCTTATTTGAACTTGTAACAGTTCTTATTACCAATTTGAATTTGTAGTATATTTACAGTACTCTTATTCAGCAACTCATGATTATTTGTATTCATATACAGTTTCTTTTCCGGCAGTACTACTTTATTTTTTTTTAAATATTTATGTTGATCCTGTTATTTCTTGTTTGTTTTAAAATATGTAATTTGATGTAACAGTGTAATTTTTTGTCACACATTATATGTTTATTTGATGTATTTACATTGTTTCAGATGGCCCCAATGTAAATCAGTCTTGTAACTGTTTGGGCTTTTTTAACCATGTATAAATAAAGATATCAATTCAATTCTATTAACATGTAAAATATTATTTAAATTACAAAGATAATTTATTTTGGCCGTCGTCTTCGGCAAGGAAATATATTTCGAACGTAACTTTTGTTTATGATGACACGTCTGATTTAAAACCATGTTTTAGAGAATAAATGTCTGTTTTATAATTTGTGTTACTTATTACGCAATACATATCAAAACCTGTCAAGAAGAAGGAAAAGTAAGTACCAAGACAATTCAAATCTTTAAAATACGCTATTATATTTGTTTTCTACTTTATTTCTGAAACCGGTCATAGTGAAGAAGAGAACTCTCAAGGATTTTTCTTTCGATTATTTATATTATTAGTTGTTTATTGCGGTGACGGAGGATTATCGACATGAAGTTAATTGTTCTATAATTATATATATTTTACCAAAACACGACAACGAATTCCAAAATCAATGTATATCAAAATGATTAAATCTTGTTACATCATCAGGAAACCTAGTTTTAACTACTGGTGTTACGTTGTACATAGTATACAACGAACTTATCGGTTATTCATATTTTCATTTTTATTTTAAATTTACATTTGCATTCTTTATCATTCTTCAGTGTCTTTTTTTTTTCAAACAGATATTTGAATTATCTGATATATTACAAAGAGAAGGATTAGTTACTCTGATATTTTACATCACATGTCATTCTGTCTGACTACGAGCATGACGATCTTGACCGAAATTGACAACAATTGACAAAATCATGAAAATTATACAAATTCTGGGATTTTCATATTCATCCTATTCACTCCCTACACTTAAGTAAATATCGCACACAGTTTGAGCCTGTTTGGCATCATTTTCGGGAACGTAGTGAAAACTAGTTTGGTGTGATAGGTGCTTCACTTGAACGTCTTGATCTGCAAAGCCTAAAGCGTTGAAGTTGAACGGGAATGAGGAATGGCGAGAACGCTCTGGGTTTTTATAACTCCTGAGTCAGGACGGGATTGCACACGCTCTAGGAGCGCGTTCGAACGCACTAAGAACGAGATGAGGAAGAGTTTAACTGCCTCTGAACGGGGTGGTCGGGTTAACAATTAGTTAGAACAAGTGGCGAACTAGTTAGAATGGGTTTGGACGTATTGGGAACGAGGTAGAACTAGTTAATAATGGGTTTAGCAGACTTCGGACTGGCTTGGACTGCCTAATCTACCCGATCTGAACTTAATATTAACTGGCTGTGGACGGGGGACAAACAAGATGGACGTATTGAGGACTGTTTACGAACGAACTAGGATCGTATTATAGACTCTTTTTTTTTACACCTTCTGCCCCGACCACAACCCGTTTTACGATTTTCTAGTACGGTTCCAGAATGTAGTAAAAACTAGTTTGGTGTGATGGGGGCTTTAACCATGAAGCAAGTCGCACACACTCAACCGGCGCCATTAGGGACTTTTAGATTTGCTTGGACTGATACATGTGACGTCCATTCAAGGCAGTGCATTAAAAGGACGTCGATCGTAGCAATCCCCATTGTCTTCGTGCGAATCTAAAAATCCCTATTGTGATACAGAAAACGTCATAGAATGAACCTGCATCAAAACACGCCCTAAGCACTGTCAAACAAGCACATAATTACATGTTCATGTATAATACCATTCTATTTTAAATCAGCCTGTTCAATCATTTATGGCCGTTGCCATGCGTCATAATATAAACTTTCGCAATCGTTCGTCAAACATAAGAATTTTTTATTTCATTTTTAGATATTTACTTTAAGTGTAGGGAGTGAATAAGGTGAATATGAACATCCCTAACAAGCCCCCGACACACCAAACTAGTTCTCACTACGTTCTGTAAAATGTTCTCAAACGTGCTCAAACTGTCTGTGAACGGAGTTGAACGTGGTAGCAACTGTTAACAATCTGTTCCATAACTTCATGGATGGGTTCGGACTGGCTATACGGAAGGGTGCTCAAGAATTTTGAGCCTGTTCGAAAATTTCCCCGTCCTGCAATCAGACGGAGTGACAACTTACTTAAACCGAGGAGGGCGTACTGCAAACGGACTGATTACCGTACTATGAACGGAATTGCCGTACTTTGATTCTACTTGAAACGTGTTACAACGTGCTGTGGTCGACCATCAATTAGGCCTACTAGCAGCATAAGCCCCCATCACACCAAACTAGTTCTCACTACGCTCTGGAACCGTCCTAGAAAATCGTAAAAACAGGTTATGGTCGGGGTACAATGTGTCAATAATGTCTATAATACGATCCTAGATTGTTCATAAACAGTCCTCAATACGCCGACCTAGTCTGTACCCCGTCCACAGTCAGTTCAAATCAAGTCCAGGTCGGGTTTGCCATTTCAAAGCAGTCCGAGCCCGACTTTATCGGTTTAAACCCGTTCTTAACTAGTTCTACCTCGTTCCCAATACGTATGAACCATTCTAACTAGTTTGCAACGTATTCTAACTAGTTTGTAACCCAACCATCTCGTTCAGGGACACTTCAACTCGACCAAATCTCGTTCTTTAGTGCGTTCGAACGAGCCCCTGAAGGCTCTAGGGCTATAAAAGCCCAGTGCGTTCTTGCTATTCTTTATTTCCGTTCAATTATACTGCTGATAATTGATGCTCGACCACCTCACGCTGTAACACGGTGCTAGTAGGGCCGAAGTACGGCAATTCTGTTTGTATTACGTCCATCTTGTTTGAAGTACGTTGTCATCCCGTCTAATTGCAGGACGGGGAAATTTTGAACAGGCTCTATGTTCTAGAGCACCCTTCCCATCCAAGCCAGTCCGTGCCCGTCCATGAAGTTATTAAACAGATCGTAAACAGTTGCTACTTCGTTCACCCCGTTCCCACACAGTTTGAGCCAGTTTGGCAACATTTTACAGAACGTAGTGAGAACTAGTTTGGTGTCATGGGGGCTTCACTTGAATGTCTTGATCTGCTGTTAATATCCAATACAAAGTATATTACAGTAATAAAAAGTTATATAAGGTTAGTACAGAGTTAGACATCATCAAACAAGCTAATATGTTGAAGTAGAATTTTTTTAATAATATTTGAAATGTGGGTGGGGTTCTCATTTCAGTGTTAAGGAAGGAGTGTGTTCCAAAGTTCAAGTCCAGATTAAACTACACATACACATACGTAAATATCTCCAATGAAATACGACATTCTTCTGTTTGATGTACCACTGCGAATATTAACATTATGACGCATTTTAACGGCCATTTATGATTACAGACTGATGCGAAATGGAATGGTATTATACATATACGCGTATGTGTTCGTTTGAGCGTCGTTGGGGCGTGCATTGATGCAGGTTCATTCCATAACGTTCTCTGTATCACAATGGCGCCGGTTCATTGGATGTGTGCAGGGGCGGCGATTTCTGTTAATGACCGGGGGGACGAAATGCGAATTTTTTTACGAGGATGTTATGCGAGGGAGCGTAGCAACCGAGCGAGATTTTGTTTGCAATTTTATTAGTCTAAACGCTGCACTCTTGGGCCTTCCAGAGCCTAAAAGTGTGTTGCAGTCATTATTCAGTATATGCTATACAATTTGTTTCGCACTTTTTCAAATTTGAGGGGGGACGATCCCCCCCTAGAAAAATTGAGGGGGGATGTGTCCCCCCGTCCCCCCCCCCCCCTGGGATCGCCGCCCCTGGATGTGTGCGATTTGCTTCATGGTTAACATTTCTTCTTGCAGTCTTGCAGTTGAATAGCTGCTACGGCCGTGAGCGATTTTCAATAGCTTTGATATCTCATAAATTTGTACCCTTTCATTTCATTTGTTTTATTTTGTTATAGTAATCATATATATATATAAACATTACTTGAACTTACAACAATTCTTATTTTCAATTTTGATTTTGAATATTTGTAGTTTCTTGACCAGCCACATTTGATTATTCATAATTTCATATATCATTTCCGGCAGTTTATTTGAACTAGTAACAATTTTTACTACCAATTTGAATTTGAAGTATATTTACAGTACTCTTTTCCAGCCACTCATGATTATTTGTATTCATATACATATTATTTTCCGGCGATACTATTCTATTGCTTTTTTTTTTTAAATATTTATCTTGATCCTGTTATTTCTTGTTTGTTTTAAAATTTGTCATTTGGTGTAAAATTGTCATTTTTTTTTGTCACAAATTATATGATTATTTGATGTACTACCATTGTTTTACACGGCCCCAATCATGGAAATCAGTCTTGTTACTGTTTGGGCTTTTTTAACCGTGTATAAATAAAGTTTTCAATTCAATTCTATTAACATGTGAAATGTTATTTGATTTGCAAAGACAATTAACTTTGGCCGTCGTCTTAGGCCAGGAGATATATTTCGAACGTAATATTTGTTTATGATGAAACGTCTGATTTAAAGTGACTTGGTAACATTGTTGAAGGTTGATGAAAAAATTGCTTAATTTGTGTACAAAATGTTACTTACTATATTCCTTCTACTGTACTAACCCTCTGACATGCAAAAAATCCTGAACAAATTCTCAAACCACAAAGATATCTATGGTTTTCTTTGAAGGAGTCAATGTACGACACCCTCTAACAGTGATTAACAGTTAATTATCCCAACCATTTTTGAATTTTCCCAACCGTTTTTCCATGAAAAAAAAAACATAAAACAGGCTATAAAAAATCTGTCAACACTTAAATGTCTGGAATGGAATGTAGAGCAAGTTTATTGCTTTGTTAGATTTCCATTCACCTAAAATGTAATTAAATAGTAATAATATAGTTGGGAGAATTAAGGAATCGATCAGATCAGTTTTTCCAATTTGTACCATGAATAATGATCCGTTTTCACTCAAATTTTCCGATTATCTTTAATTGTACATCTAGCATTGAAGTCACTACCTTAGCACCACTATCTCTCATCTGAACAATGTTACCAAGTCCCTTTAAAAACCTTTCTAAGAGAATAAAATGTCTGTTTTCTAATTTGTGGTAGTTATTACGCAATACATATTAAAAAAAAAGGAAACAAACTATGAAAATTCAAATCTTCATAATAAATTACATACACTATTTTTTTTTCTTCTATTTTATATCTGAAACCGGTCATAGTGAAGAAGAGAACTCTCAATGATTTTTATTTCGATTATTTTTATTATTATTTGTTTATTGCCGTGACGGAGGATTATCTATTATGCTTTGTCATTGGTTATAATTAATTAAATGTATAACTCAGGGGCGGATCTAGCTTTTTGCTAAGGGGGGGGTTTGACCAAAATAATGACGATGCGGAGCATCGTCCACGAGCCGCGAAGCGGCGAGCCGATTTTTTTGGGGGGTGTTTATTTGAACCCCGTAAGTGATGTTTTCCTGGCATCTATTAACACAAGGGAGACCATAAAAAGCAGTGCATGATAACGTCTTTTTAAATCAAGTAACAGTTAAATACACAGTTATATCCAGAGTTATCATGTGTTTGCTTAAGTTACCAGATGAGTTGAATATCTTCTCACAATATTTGCACTTGAAAGGGTTTCTCTCCAGCGTGCGTTCTTTTTTCTTTCTTTCTTTTTTTTTTTTCTTCTTTTTTTCCCTTTTTTTTTTTTTTTTTTTGGGGGGGGGGGGCCCGCCCAAGGGGGGTTTAAACCCCCTAAACCCCCCCCCCCCCGTAGATCCGCGCCTGTAACTCCTCTCTTAATTGGTCGGATGACCTAAGGGTAATTTTATATATCCCATCTTTTAATTGGTTGTCTTCGTAAGGTCCTCCTGGTTGGCTGGTAATATCATGTGATATCTTAGCCTCGTCAGGTGCCGGAGTATTTAAATGCCATGTGCGGGATTTCGTAGTTGAGTTTTATTTCATTCCGTTACCATGTTTAGGATGTGCTGCTAGTTTTACTCGTCGATAGGGCCGCCCAGCCTCTGAGAGAAGCAAGCTAATTTAAAATGTTCTTAAATAATTAATCCTCGTTTGTAACTACAGGAGCTTCGGCTGACTTTTATAATTAATAAAGTGGACTTCAACTGTATATCCGAGCTTTTTTCGTTTTTATTTAGTTTCTGAACTTGTCGTCACCGACTCATTACGGGCCCATTACAATATTGAATCCATTTTGAAAATACAAAAAAAATCCATGAGCACATTAAGCCTGAGCACATTTTCATGCACACACACACTCTATATTCAATACAAACTTTTGAAAATAACAGATTTCTTTTTACATTGGACTATTCATATATCAACTAAATAAAGGCGATCGGCAACTCTTTTTAATTCCCATATTTGTAATAAGTAGGGAAATTCATTCTTACTCTTCCAGGCAAATATTCATCTCTTCCGTACTATAACCGATACAGGTCCCTCATTTTATTTAATAGATTGGACATTTTAAAAAATAACACAGCCTACGTCTATGAAACATGAGAGGGGCACGTTAAACACACAAGGCAAGCTTCAGTAATCCGTCTTAGTTAGATTCGAACCCGTCTTGGTTTGACAGGCAAATGAGCCGACTCGCCTCCTAGATTTTATCCAGACATGCGTGCAAAACATAACTTTTCAACCAGCTTTGACAGACGCACCTCTTATTCAGTTATTTTCTATGATATTTCCCTGCTCTTTATTTCATGTTGCAGAGGCACCCGTTAGTGTACGACTTGTGAATGGTCCATCGCCCAATGAAGGAAGAGTAGAGATTTTGTACAATGACCAATGGAACACCATCTGTGATGATAAATGGAATAATGGTGAAGCAGAGGTTGTTTGTCGTCAGCTTGGCTATGGCACTGATAATGTAACACCAAGGAGTTTAGCCTACTATGGTGAAGGATCCGGACCGATTCAACGAGTCGAGTGCTATGGTTGGGAGGATAGCTGGGAATCCTGTACTGTGTCTTCAGGGAATTCCTCATGTGGCCATTATGAGGATGCAGGAGTAAGATGCGGTAAGCTGAATTTCAACCAGATATGACATACGTATCTTTCATTCAGTTACTTTCTATGATATTTCCCTGCTCTTTATTTCATGTTGCAGAGGCACCCATTAGTGTACGACTTGTGAATGGTCCATCGCCCAATGAAGGAAGAGTAGAGATTTTGTACAATGACAAATGGAACACCATCTGTGATGATAAATGGAATTATGGTGAAGCAGAGGTTGTTTGTCGTCAGCTTGGCTATGGCACTGATAATGTAACACCAAGGAGTTTAGCCTACTATGGTGAAGGATCCGGACCGATTCAACGAGTCGAGTGCTGGGGTTGGGAGGATAGCTGGGAATCCTGTACTGTGTCTTCAGGGAATTCCTCATGTGGCCATTATGAGGATGCAGGAGTAAGATGCGGTAAGCTGAGTTATACTTACTGTTCGCAGGTCGTACTTAAACAACGATATTTCACCATTATTTGCATAGTTTTATTCATATATGCATACATCTAAGTAGTTTGTGTTTTTTTGGTTAGCGGTTAAAAAATAAACTTTTTATGAAATAGAATTATAATTGAATTAACCTCTGCAAGCATAAAAAGCTTATCGTTTTTAACCAGCTATGAAACTTAGCACATCTAATTGAACTATTTCTCTCCAACATTTCCCTCTTTTCCACTTAATGTTGTAGGGACCGACGTTTCCACAACCTTAGATCCATTTCAATGGCCAGCGACAACCACAGACTATTACGGTGGAATCTATAACGTACAGCTCGTAAACGGTCCATCACCCAGTGAAGGAAGAGTAGAGATCTGGTACAATGGCCAATGGAACACTATCTGTGATGACAACTGGAATCTTGAAGAAGCACAGGTTGTTTGTCGTCACCTTGGCTATAGCACGGATAAAGTCGTAGCATGGAGTTCGGCCTTCTATGGACAAGGTTCAGGACCGATTCAACATATCCAGTGTTCTGGTTGGGAGTCTAACTTGGGTTCCTGTTCTCTGACTTCAGGGGATTCCATATGTGGCCATAATGAGGATGCAGGAGTAACATGCGGTAAGCTTTATATAGATATTCCTTTTGTCTGCCTTGCCTTAGGTAAAATATATCAAAGTTACCATCTATAGGCCAGAGGTGTAACAAGGATTGGGTATTCACATCAAATAAGAAAGAGAGATATTCTGATCGGATATCATCCTCGTTATCTCTATAAATCACAATGAAAGGAATTAATGTTCTCAAAAAGAGGCGGAGCGGGGTCCGGTCATTGAGGCCAGTTGCACTAGTGTTATGGGGTCATGGAGCAAGGGGACACTGGTCCAACTTGGTGAATAAAGGTCAAAAAAGCAAGACCGTCAAGTATTGTGAGGATGAGGAAAGGGTGTACTTATATTATTTTACCTCTCCCTCAATTTCTTTTTTTTTTTGGCTGGCTTTTTTCCTATTTGATCGGAGGCATGCTCCTTTGCAGCTAGGTGCACCATTGGGTCTCACCGTTAACCACATCTTCTGATGAATCTTTTTTTTTTCCTTTTTATCAGAGAATAAAGCGTGCACGCACTGATGTAGACTGTTAAATGACAAAATTATATTTTGACGAAAAGTTTAGAGCTGATCATGAGTTCTTCTTTTCTTATTTACTGAAATTATTCTAGCAACGTTCATGTTACTTGGAACTGGCTGTTTGCATGTATATACGTGTTTATATTGTACTTTATTTTTCTGTCTTGATGTCTTGTATTGCCTGTTATTTTTTTTGTAAGGTTTTTCCTTTTTATCAGACTGCAAAACAAATCAGTCAACTTGACTTTTTAACAAGTATCATTTAAATATTTGTTTACTCGGGTAACTGTCTTTTGGGGTCGATGTATATGTTCATGTGCGTTGTTTGTGCATAATTTACTACGTCGATCTTGATAATGAAATTCTTTATTGCCCTTTGTATGACATCGTACAATTGTTAGAATAAAAAACAACCTCGTCATCTGTCCTCAATTCACAAATTTAATCACAGAGCAAATGAGGCGTAAGGGTTGTGCATTGTATCATTCATGATACTGCTTATTCAATTCATAGTGGATGTGTGTCCTAGTATAGTAATTCATTCACTTAACTCTCATTCCAAGAATTGATCCTTCAAATTCCAGCCCGTCACTTTAATAGGTTCTCTGGCAAGACACTAATCCACTTATGCCGCTATCCACCCAGTTGTAGATGGATACCTGGCAACATGCTGGGGTAATAATAATTGCACGGCCTGCAGGAAGAGCAGTAATCTTTTGGCTCCCTTCGGTAAATTAGACCCAATTATTATTTTCATTATTATCATAGGTTACACAAACACCGGCATCACAAACAGAACAACAACATATAGAACATCTCCTCGGGTAATCGGATCAATGTCATTCGTCGGAGTATCCTTGTTTCTCCTAACCATCATCGCTATACTTGCTGTTGTGTTCGTGTGCAATCAACAGAAGGCTTCTCCTTCAGCAGCTATGGGAGTTCAGTTATCCACTCTTACCACTAATTCTGCACCTCAACCAGCATCAACCATGCCCATGCCTGCACCCGTCTCCGTCAATGTACCTATTTAAATGTCGGACAGAAACCCACGTTTGCTTATTAGAAGATTCAGACTGCCATTCTAAAAGGTGTGCCTCACAATTGTTTTCAGTTTGTCCTTGTGATTGCTCTCAGTTGTATATACTTATACATTCAAAATAATCTAGAATGTTATTGTAAATGTTACTGCTATCGTTTTATGGTTTCATTAAAATCTGGTAAGATGTGTTTGGAGTATTTGGATACAGTCTGACAACTTAAATAATAATTGTAATGCCACAAAATATATATATATTCAGTTGAATACGCATGTAGTATGTCGCATTAATATTTTTTTAGATGGTAAATGGTTAAATAAATGTTTATTTAGAGTATATATTGTAAATAAATCTGCTGAGCTTCTCATTTATATCTTACTTTTATTGTAGAATACCATCTATTAAAGGATGTTTTACATTTCAGAAAAATTTATATATCTCGCGCAAATATTATATATTCAAATCATGCGTAGCCCGTTATACAAAATATCTTTATAACGGTGTTCAATCATGGATCAATAAATGTGCCTTATTGCTCAATCAGTTATTCAAATCACATGCGCGATCTTCCACAGAGTAGATTTATATAACGTTACTTTTTTTTTTATAGCTTTTTATGTTCTATTATATTTGCCTTTACCCTCATTATGTATTTTGTTACAAATTATAATTGCTTATCATGATTCATGAACGTGATCATTGGAAAAATGCCTCCAAAAGAATCAAAAGGAACACACGTCAGTGTGTAAGAATTGTTACTGTAAGCAATATACTGTAACTTCCTTTGTTAATAATCATGATTGTTAATAAAGCGATATTTAAACGTGTTTATATATCAATATTCTTCATTCATTCACGGTCGTCTCATGTTTCTTTCCCTTAACTCAAATATAAAGAATATTGTCATTAATAAAAACATCATTCAAATGGATGGGCCGTATAACTATTATTAAAACATTTATTCTTCAATTTAGACATTAGCAAAGCCATATACTCAGTTAAATGATATTAATACCAGACTTATATTCATTTCATGCGATTTGTCCATGTTTTATGGTCGGGGAATTTCCTAGAGTAGACGTTCGAATAACTTTTGTTAATATAACTTTTAATAAGGATATCATTTTTACTCCAATTTATGTTATGGTAAAGTTTCTGTACCTAGTAAACAATTTTCATTGTTTTTTGTATCACGTTTTGAACTATTCGCAAATAATAAAGTCAATTCCCATTGCTGTACATAATTATTGTTATCCTACTAATAAACAGTGTATTTTGGGACTGTTTTCTGTTACATTATCTTACTGCATATTTTGGTATCGCCTTACTCGATAAATACCGGCTTTCAAAAAAAGTAGTATCATCTCTCATGTGTCTTTTGTTTAATGTTCAGTATTTTTCCATAAAATCAAAATATAATAGTGGTGTCTAACTTTCTCATTACATCTGTATCAGAAAGCGATGGAAATTCCACACAGTGGAAACTCAGTATAACGAGATCCTTGGGACTATCAAAATTACCTTTTCATAGCAGGAATCTCGTTATATCAGATTAAGAAACAAAAGAATTTAAAGAAATGGGACCGGAATATTTATTACCTTGTTATATTAGGAATATTGTTATATCAGATCTCTTTATACTGAGTTTCCACTGTAGATTTATTTATTATTTTATCTTACACAAAGGCAGGTGTTAATTATTGTGTATGTAATTACTCCATCTTTTAACAAAATCTCTAAACAGGAAATTCAGCTTTGAAGATTTTTTTCTTCTCGCAGAGCCATATTTTTGAAGTATGAATAAATTAGGAACCAGTACTAAATTGACCTTAGAATTAAACTTTAATAACATTAAAATACTTTCCATTTACTCATTTTGATAATAGCGAAAAGAATAATCCCCTCCTTAGAATACAATATGGTCGAGTAATGGTTGGGTTTAATGAAGAAAGGGCATAATTAAAAATATAGAACCGTTTCTGCGAGAAAAAACTATTCTTCAAAACTGAATTTTCTGTTGAAAGATTGTTTTCTTTTTTTCTAAAGCACTCATGGAAGTGGTTTTTCCATTAAACCTTGCAGAAAGCCTTTTTTCCATATTCATCAAATGTAAAAGCATGACTTAAGGCAAAAAATGACTGAAAATATTGGGGTTTTTCTTCCTCCTTTCGATTTTCATTTGTTTTTATATTACAAGAGGGATACCTTTTCTTGGGTAGTATGCCCTCAGCCATCCCCTGTAAAGTGTATCAGCCTTTACTTTGGCATTGATCCATATTACTTTGACTTGGAGTTAACGCCCTTGTGACCCCAAATAGCCGTCATGTTAAACGTGTCCGTTAATATTGTTATACATTGTGTCAAAAGTATTCCATTTAAATACATGTACTTGAATGCATATAATCACACAATGGTAGTCTTGTGCATCATATCAAAAGCTTATATCACACTACATTATGTTGAAGTATAATTCTAACACTTGCATGGTTATATCCATTGCTGGCATTAATGGGTTGTGACTTTTTTTTTCAAAACATTGTTGCTTCGTGAAGCGCGTATGGATACGTTTTATCAAACAATTTTGATAGCACCACACGTCTGCTTTATGGGAGGGGTTCTGGCCTTCCATTCAAGGGATGGACTGAGGTCCCTTTCTCCGACAATAGGGACTTTTAGATTTGTGTGGACTGATACGTGTGACGTCCATTCAAGGCAGTGCATTAAAAGGACGTCGATCGCAGCAATCCACAATGGTCGTTGTGCAAATCTAAAAGTCCCTAATGAGTCAAACAGCCATCGAGTCAAAGATGGGGTTATAGTAGGAAAACTGTATCAAATCCTTCCTAGCCTCCTTTACCAGTCTGCCACCGATGTAATCTAGAGACATTTTTAACCGATGACATTAAATCAATCAGAGCACATTGAAAAAACTTTTTAATTTACGTCCTAAAACAGTATTTTCATATTAAGAATTGATTAGGATTTACATCTTCACTCTGTATCCACTAGGTCTCCAATGTCATCAAAACAAAGTCAATGAGTTTGCTAGCATACTGCCCCGTTTCACACCCACCCACATACACTACCTGAAGAGAGATTTACGCCCTTTCACATGTTTAAGGAACTTTAACGATCGTCATCCTCCTTATAGTGATTTCAATGAGACACAGAGAGAGAGAGAGAGGGGGGAATAAAGAGAATTCTAGTTGAGACAACATATATAATATAAGTTTTGTAAAGATATATCAGTATTCAAACTAAAAAGATTGTATTGTATATATTCCATTGTGAAAGACTAGACTCACGTTCAATTTCTTATTTTGCACGACACCACGTACTGTGAGGTTGCTATTGTGACGTAGCGCAATGAACCTTGGGTATTGTGTGTATGATTTGTTTTATTTTATGTTACCATTGTGACGTTGTGTCTTGAATTCAAGAAATATTCAGCATTGTGCGGGGGGTACCACTGTGGCGCACCGCAATAGCAGGAACTCTGTGTATACTACATTTATAGTTGTTGTGCGAGTGATAATTAAGTCGTGCGTACTTACGTTCATTGCATCAAAATGGCACCCGGTAATATGCCATGCTCGTTTTGGTGGCGACTTATTGGCGTACTTCTCTGGTTAAATAGTGTGTACAGTCGTAAGTAAAATCTTATTACATACCTTACATATGTGTATATAATTGTTTTTGCTTTTGTGGCGACTTATTTTCGTACTTTTCTGGTTAGAGTTTACTTTCCCATAGTTTGTCATCCAGCCATGCAGTGGCGGATCGGGGGGGGGGGGGCCGGGGGGCCCGGGCCCCCCCCCCCCCCCCTCCCCCTTGAGAAAAAAAATCATGTAAAATCACGTGATTTTTACCTTGTTGGGGGGTTGGCCCCCCCCCCCCCCCCTGGCGCTCAAGGGGGGGGGGGGGGTGCAATTTGAATTTTTTTTTGAGGATCAAAAAAAAAAATGTGCTCACTACCCCCCCCCCCCCCCCCCCCCCCCCCCCCCCCCCCACTGAGCGACTTTTCGGCCGGCGCGATTTTCAAATTTTCGGGAGCAAAACAAAAAAAAGTTGGGCCCCCTCCCCTAAGAAATCCTGGATCCGCGCCTGCAGCCATGTTAAGTGTTGTTGAAACATACCATATTATAAGTAATAAATTATACCACTCATGTCATCAATCAAATAAAGTATTTTATCATCTTCACGATTCTGTATAGGCTTACACCGGTAGTGTAGTTAACTATCAATATTCGGTTTTTAAATCAAATGGAACATTGTGATTTTTTTATCATTATACCTACTATAAAGGCAGAACAACTGTTATGGTCTAAGGCATTTCGAAAACGTGTAGAAGATATACCAGTGCTGTCAATTGTCATAGGCATAAGCCTTGTGACGTAAAGTAGGCAGTATTCGGAGTGTAGGATATTGTCTTGCAATATCATTATTAGCTTGAAATTATATGACGATATTCAAATTACATTTTGGTGTAAATATGAATTTATTTTATGCAACCACTTCAACAAACCCGAAAATACTGTGAATAGCAATCAGTCACACTAATAATTACGTATGTATTTGCAGTATTGAAAATTTGTAACAGGATAGTGTTTATTATCAGAATTTGAGAATGAGAGGAAGGACCTGATGTATATCGAAGTGAATGCACGCTCCTTTTATGTGTCTTCATTGTGTCGGTATCTTGGGCCGTTGGCCCTTCATAGGGGAAATATAGCCGTACTCATTCCTCTTCTGACAATTTTGGATCGGCCCCTGTCTGGCTAAAGAGTGCAGTGTTGCATCTTGTCGACTCCGATTCGCAAAAAATAGAATTTAGTCGATAATCTTGTAGGTTGAGTTATGAATTTTTTTTTTTTTTTTTCCAAATTGCCCAAAATAAAACTATTAATGGACCCTTCAAGGCCACTGATGTTTCTTAGCTCAAAAGCCCTTCTGAAAGGTCGTGATGTGACATTGCTGAAAACTCTTTGAATCTTCCCCCCCCCCTTTTTTTTTTTTTGTATGCAGTCAAACTAGGAATGTTATGTGAAATAACACGAACGCAACCACGTCTGACAGATCAACTAAAGGAACGTGTGATCATCACACTAACTTATTACGTAATCTGAATATGAAGATTGTAGAATATATACATGTACCATTTATTGATCGTTTTAGATACAAACACTGTGATTGATATACTAAATATCAAGAAACACGGGCAGAGGTACATGGTTCAATAAGCATAATGTTTTGGCGGTAGCATTTAGTGCGATGGATGCCCATTAAGATACCAACTAACTAAAATAGGTATGATTTTAGTAAATGCGTTAAAAACTTTACCAGGTCAGCTTTAAGATAGATTCTAAACATCGGCTGATTGGTCTACATATTGATTGTAAATTATTATGGAAAGCCCACACCGATTTCTTATGTAAATTATTTCGAAAAAATGTTGGTGTTATCAAAAGACTTACACATTATTTCCCCTATTTTGTATGGACCTTATATTCTACGTTATTGCTAATATACCTAACTTATGGAACATGAGCGTTGATAAATTGAATCCATTTTAAAGATACAGAATAGAGCCATGAGGACACTAAACCTCTGCACATTTCCATGCATATACAAACTCTATGTTCCATACAAAATTTCGAAAAAAATAGACTTCTATTTTCGTTGGAATATTAATGGTTCAACCAACAAGGCGATCGGTAGAATTTTTCTATTCCTCTGTTTGTAAAAAGTGGTAAAATTCATTCAAAAATCCTATTTTCATCTCTCCATTATGCGTACAGTTTTTGCTCTCAAAATAAAAACCTAAACAGGTCCCTCATTTTCTTCAATAGATAGCAAAACTGGCATAGCCTACGTCTATGAAACATTAGAGGGGCACGTTAACACACAAAGCAGGCTTCAGTAATCCGCCTTGGTTAGATTCGAACCCAACCTGGTTTGACAGGCAACTGAGCCAACTCGCCTCCTAGATTTTATCCAGGCATGCGTGCAAAACATAGCTTTTTAACCAGCTATGACAGACGTACTTATCATTCAGTTATGTTCTATGATATTTCCCTGCTCCTTATTTCATGTTGCAGAGGCAACCTATAATGTACGACTTGTGAATGGTCCATCGCCCAGTGAAGGAAGAGTAGAGCTTTTGTACAATGGCCAATGGAACACCATCTGTGATGATTACTGGAATCTTGAAGAAGCACAGGTTGTTTGTCGTCAGCTTGGCTATGACACTGATAATGTAACACCAAGGAGGTCAGCCTACTATGGTGAAGGATCCGGACCGATTCAACGAGTCGATTGCTGGGGTTGGGAGTCTAACTTGGGCTCCTGTTCTCTGTTTTCAAGGGATTCCGCATGTAGACATTATCAGGATGCCGGAGTAAAATGTGGTAAGCTTATACTTCCTTTTCGCATGACGAGTAATTACTATAATCAGTAACAACAGAAAGAGGACACTCTTTATTTTTCTAAATTTTTCTCTTAAACCCTCAAAAAGATATAATAAGATTTGTAATTAGATTAAAGGAAAAATTTATACTTAACCAGCATTAATAACGATCAATTTTGTTAACGTCCACGCTTGAGTGGGCACCATCATTTTACAGTTCGAAGGTCTGATTAAGAAAATTGCAAAATAAGAGTAAGTAGCCATTCAATTATTGATGAACATGTGCATCTTTATTAAAGACCATAAATTTAACATAAATTTAACAATAGAAACAAAGAGTGAAAACATTGAGATGAATGATCTTTGGATGTTATCCCTAGTCTAAGGACTGCATGATTTTGATAGGCACGGTCAAGATGCTTCTCTTTTCCATCTAGGATCATGGAGGACGAGCCATAGGATACATGTATTGCTCATCAACATTTTAATGGCCACAAGCTCAATTTTTTGCAATTTTCTGTAAGAGACTTGTTAATTTATAAGTGGCAATGCTCACTTATGGATAAATGGTATGATTCGAATTACATATCATCTTTTTGAGGATTAATTTGATGTTACTTTAATATATGAACGATAAGTCAAAATTAAATACTTACTCGAAAATCTTAACTATAAATTGTTCCCCTTTCGTTTCTTGTTTTGCTGAGTGTGTTTCAGTAAAAGATAGGACTATTTTACATACATGTACAATAAAAACTATGGACAATTTAAAGTGATCGGTGTCATCTTTCTTATCACTCTAAAAGCGCAACACAAAAATTGATCTTGGAAGTGGCATTGGAAATGACATTGGTTAATTGGGGGAGACATGAGTTACACTACCGTAATTATTTCCGTTAAAAACAACTCAATGGCACTGCTAATACCCTCGGGTATGTCTCATAGAATTGATGTTCGAATTACATAATATGACTTTCTCATGTTCGCACATTTTAATAGGTGACGCATGAGGCTACTAGTTTCTATCCTGCACAATCTATACTTGGTAAATGATATAAAAGAAGACCGTGATGGTAGGTGACGGCGTTGTGTCAAGATCTGCTCGTCATTCCGTCGTCACCCTCTTTATAATGATTCAAATGAGTAACAGAGAGAGGCAGAGAGAGAGAGGGGAGAGAGAGAGAGAAAGAGGGAGAAAGAGTGGAGGCAGAATGGTACTAGTTGAGACAAAATATGATATAATATAAGTTTTGTAAAAAATACGTCAATATTTAAATTAACAAGATTCGATCGTACATATTCAATCGTGAAATACTCAGCTCGATTTCAATTCCTCTCTTTGCACGCCACCACTGTGAGGTTGCTGTTGTGACGTACGGGCAATGAACTTTGGGTATTGTGTGTACGATTTTTTTATTTATTTTTTTTTTTTGGGGGGGGGGTAATGTTACCATTGTGACGTTACGCCTTGAATGAAAAAATATAACAGCTTTGTGGCACACTGGAATAACAGACAGTTCGTGTATATTGCATTTATGGTTGTTGTGTGACAGATAATAGGGACTTTTAGATTGAGTAAACGAGAACGACGTGAACTTCCACTAATCATGCGTGTCCATGGCAAGCTGTTTAAAATTTATTCCTATTTCTTGATATCAAGAATTCAATTTAGCCTCGGTTAGACTCAAACCCACCTTGGTTTGACAGGCAACTCTGAGCCAACTCACCTCCTAGATTTTATCCAGGTATGCGTGCAAAACATAGCCTTTTAACCAGCTATGACAGACGTACTTATCATTCAGTTATTTTCTATGATATGTCCCTGCTCTTCATGTCATGTTGCAGAGGAACCGACTGTACGACTTGTGAATGGTCCATCACCCAGTGAAGGAAGGGTAGAGATTTTGTACAATGGCCAATGGAACACCATCTGTGATGATTACTGGAACCTTGAAGAAGCACATGTTGTTTGTCGTCAGCTGGGCTATAGCACCGATAATGTCGTGGCAAGGAGTTCAGCCTTCTATGGTCAAGGATCAGGACCGATTCAACGAGTCGCGTGCTGGGGTCGGGAGTATACCTGGGAATCCTGTCGTGTGTCTTCAGGGAATTCCTCATGTGGCCATTATGAGGATGCAGGAGTAAGATGCGGTAAGCTGAATTATACTTAATGTTCGCAGGCCGTACTTAACCCTAAAAAGGCCGGGCTATTTGAGGTCTTAGTACGGCCGGGGGGGGCATTATGACCCCCCCCCCCCTTCTTAAGATCTCGGCCGCGAAGCGGTCGATCGCCGCAAAAATTTGCACGCATTTCAAGTGAAGTGTATAGAATAATATCATAATTTCAATTTTTTGAAAAATTCACTCATTTGCATATTTATGGTAATTTATGCAAATATAGTCATAAAAATCACATTTTTACCCATAAGTCATATATTGTTCATATTTAAGCCATCTTTTTCACTACATATATTTATTAGACCATTCTAAATGATAATACGACAAAAAAAATTGGAAGAGCCAGCTTATTCCTTATGTTATTCATTGTTTTGATAATTTCTTATGTATTTCATTGTTTTTAACTTATCTATTTCATTGTTTTATTTTTGTTCTTACTAGAATTCCACTATTGTGACTCCCAAAACAACCACTTAAACTTTAAGCAAGACCCAATAACCCATGTTTGATCTGTTTTTAGGAAAAATGACTTTTCCATATGTTTTGTACATAAATCACGAAAATGAGCGATTTTCGGGCTGACATGCAAAGACAAAAGGTCACGTGACCTTGTAACCGTAGGTCCGATTTTCAAAAAAATCTTTTCTTTTAAAAGTTGCGCAAGACTCGAAAGAAAAAAGTCAGCGAGCGGCGGGGCGCCATCCATATGCGTTCCCGAGCAATCGGAAAAATCGTGGAGGGGGGCCCATAATGCCCCCCCCCCCGCCTTATTAGGGTTAAACAACGATATTTCACCAGTATTCGCTTTGTTTCATTCATAATAATAATAATTGTTTCGTTCTTTCTTTTTAGCGGTTAAAAAATAGAAATGTTATGCATTAGAAATACAATTGAATTAAACCTCTTCAAGCATAAAGATCATATAGTTTTTAACCAGCTATGAAACACGTAAACATGATGGAGCTATTTTTCTCTGACATTTCCCTCTTTTCCACTTAATGTTGAAGGGATTGACATTTCCACAACGACCTTAGATCCATACCGATGGTCAACGTCAACCACAGGATATTATGGAGCAAAACCAGGAGCATCTCCTCGGCTAATCGGATCAATGTCATTCGTCGGAGTGTCCTTGTTTCTCCTAACCATCATCGCCGTAGTTGCTGTTGTGTTCGTGTGCAGTCAACAGAAGATTTCCCCTTCAGCAGCTATGGGAATGCAACAGTTAACTACTCCTACCACTAACCCTGCACCTCATCCAGCATCAACCATGCCCATGCCTGCACCCGTCTGCGTCGATGTACCTGTTTAGATTATGGACAGAAACCCACGTTTGCTTATTAGAAGATTCCGACTGCCATTCTAAAAGGTGTGCCTCACAATTGTTTCCAGTTTTCCCTTGTGATTGCTCTCAGTTGTATATACTTATACATTCAAATAATCTAGTATGTTATTGTAAATGTTACTGCTATCGTTCTATGGTTTCATTAGAATCTGGTTAGATGTGTTTAGAGTATTTGGATACAGTCTGACAACTTAAATAATAATTGTAATGCCACAAAATATATATATATTCAGTTGAATACGCATGTAGTATGTCGCATTAATATTTTTTAGATGGTAAATGGTTGAATAAATGTTTATCTAGAGTATATATTGTAAATAAATCTGCTGAGCTTCTCATTTATATCTTACTTTTATTGTAGAATACCATCTATTAAAGGATGTTTTACATTTCAAAAAATTTGATATATCTCGCGCAAATATTATATATTCAAATCATGCGTAGCCTGTTATACAAAATATCTTCCAAACGGTGTTCAATCATGGATTAATAATTGTGCCTTATTGCTCAATCAGTTATTCAAATCACAAGCGCGATCTTCCACAGAGTAGATTTATATAATGTCAATTTTTGTTAAAGCTTGTTATGTTCTATTATATTTGCCTTTACCCTCATTATGTACAGAATTACAAATTATAATTGCTTATCATGATTCATGAACATGATCATTCGAAAAATGTCTCCAAAAGAATCAAAAGGAACACACGTCAGTGTGTAAGTATTTTTACTGTAAGCCATCGCTTGAAATAATTCTTGTACTGGATTGTGAATTATCATGGAAAGCGCGTGATAGAATGATAATAACTATTGCCGTAATAAATTACAGTAGTATGCTGCAATACTTGATTAAAAGTGCGCTAAATACTTTTTCATATTATATCTTCTCATATGATTATATTCTATATGTATATTTCGCATTTAGGGAACACTGTCTGTTGCAGCCACAATGGGATTGATCCATATTACTTTGAAATGGTGCTAATAACACCCTTGCGACCCCAAACAGACGTCATGTTAAACGTGGACGTTAATATCGTTGTACCGTGTGTCGCACGTATTAAATCACAACAAAATGTGACGTATTTAATAGCAATATGCATTATCAACAATAAAACATTACCTGTGCTTTTCCTATTTTCTACTTTTAAAAACTCATAAATTCAATATACTGTAACTTCCTTTGTTAATAATCATGATTGTTAATAAAACGATATTTAAACATGTTTATATTTCAAATTTCTTCATTCGTTCACGGTCGCCACATGTTTCCTTCCCTTAACTCAAATATAAAGAATATCGTCATTAATAAAAACATAATCCTAATTGGATGGGCCGTATAACTATCATTAAAACATTTATCCTTCAATGTAGACATTTAAAAAGCCTTATACTTAGTTAAATTATATGAATACCAGACTTATATTCATTTCATGCGATTTTTCCATGTGTTATGGTCGGGGGAATTTCCAAGACGTTCGAATAAATTTTGTTTATATAACTTAATAAGAATATCATTTTTACTACAATTTATGTTATGGTAAAGTTTCTGCACCTAGTTAACAATTTACTTTGTTTTTTGTATCACGGTTTGAACTATTCGCAAATAATAAAGTAAATTCCCATTGCTGTACATAATTAATGCTATCCTGCTAATAAACAGTGTATTTTGGGATTATTATCTGTTACATTATCTTACTGCATATTTTGGTATCGCCTTACTCGATAAATACCGGCTTTTAATAAATGTAGTATTATCTCTCATGTGTCTTTTGTTAAATGTTCAGTATTCTTCCATAAAATCAAAATATAATTGTGGTGTCTAACTTTTTCATTACACCTGTATCAGAAAGCGATGGATATAAATTATGTACAGTGGAAACTCAGTATAACGAGGTCCTTGTGACCATTAAAAAATACCTTGTTATAGCAGGAATCTCGTTATATCAGATTAAGAAACAAAAGAATTTAAAGAAATGGGACCGGAATATGTATTACCTTGTTATATTAGGAATATTGTTATACACTGTTGGTGATAAGGGTGGAATAATTATTTTACCCCAATTTATTAAATGATTTGACAATGATTTATTTCTAGTAGATCTAGATAAAAGTATACATTCTCAGATTTAATTGAATGACAATTGGGGAGTGTTTGTTTTGCGTGATTGCTAAAGTATTTGTGTGCTACAATACTAATCAACTAGGGGACCTACATCCTTAAGTCATAACTGACAGTAATGGGGATTAATACCTTATAAAAGGGCACTTATATAGCACATCGACACGGTTTTGATCCTGATGGCTCACAGTAACGAGGCCATTGCTTAGCCAATGAATCATGACTGTACGCAGCGGGCGCTAGGGTACGTCGACGCCCCCACAAAAACAATAAAACAAAGAAAATGCAATAAATTTTCAATAATTCATTGCATTTTCCCCCAGTCCCCAACAGGAAAAATTCCTCCGTAGGGCTATGCATTATGGTTCAAGGCATGCCCACATAGAAGATTTTTTAATGTTGGGGTCGGGGCAAAAAATAATTATTCCACCATTATGACCAACAGTGTATGAGATCTCTTTATACTGAGTTTCCACTGTAGATTTATTTACTACTTTATCTTACACAAAGGCAGGTGTTAATTATTGTGTATGTAATTTCTCCATCTTTTAACAAAATCTCTGAACAGAAAATTCAGTTTTGAAGAATTTTTTTCTCGCAGAATTAAACTTTAATAACACTAAAATACATTCAATGTACTCATTTTGATAATAGCGAAAAGGATAATCGCCTCCTTAGAATACAGTATGGTCGAGTAATGGTTGGGTTTAATGAAGAAAGGGCATAATTACACAAACATAACCGTTTCTGCGAGAGAAAAAAAAAATCTTAAAAACTAGATTTTCTGTTTTAAAATTGATTTCTTTTTTTTCTAAAGCACACATGGAAGTGGTATCTCCATTGAAACTTGAATAAAGCGGTATTTTCCATATTCATCAAATGTAAAAGCCTGACATAAGGCAGAAAATGTCTGAAAATGTTGGGGTTTTTCTTCCTTCTTTCGATTTTCATTTGTTTTTATATTACAAGAGGGATACTTTTCATCACCAGAGTGATTTCCTTTCTTGGGGTAGTATGCCCTCAGCCATCCCCTGTAAAGTGTATCAGCCTATACTTTGGCATTGATCCATATTACTTGGACTTGGAGTTAACGCCCTTGTGACCCCAAATAGACGTCATTTTAAACGTGTCCGTTAATATTGGTGTCCATTGTGTCACAAGTATTCCATTTAAATACATTCACTTGAATGCATATACTCACACAATGGTAGTCTTGTGCATCATATTAAAAGCTTATATCCCACTACATTATGTTGAAATATAATTCTAACACTTGCATGGTTATATCCATTGCTGGCATTAATGGGTTGTGACTTTCTTTTTCAAAACATTGTTGCTTCGTGAAGCGCGTATGGATACGTTTTATCAAACAATTTTGATAGCACCACACGTCTGTTTTATGGGAGGGGTTCTGGCCTTCCATTCAAGGGATGGACTGAGGTCCCTTTCTCCGACAATAGGGACTTTTAGATTTGCGTGGACTGATACGTGTGACGTCCATTCAAGGCAGTGCATTAAAAGGACGTCGATCGCAGCAATCCACAATGGTCGTTGTGCAAATCTAAAAGTCCCCAATGAATCAAACAGCCTTCGAGTCAAAGATGGGGTTATAGTAGGAAAACTGTATCAAATCCTTCCCAGCCTCCTTTACCAGTCTGCCACCGATGTAATCTAGAGACATTTTTAACCGATGACATTAAATCAATCAGAGCACATTGAAAAAAAACTTTTTAATTTACGCCCTAAAACAGTGTTTTCATATTAAGAATTGATTAGGATTTACATCTTCACTCTGTATCCACTAGGTCTCCAATGTCATAAAAGCAAAGTCAGTGAGTTTGCTAGCATACTGCCCCGTCTCATACCCACCCACATACACTACCTGAAGAGAGATTTACGCCCTTTCACATGTTTAAGGAACTTTAACGATCGTCATCCTCCTTATAGTGATTTCAATGAGACACAGATAGAGAGAGAGAGAGAGAGAGAGACAGGGAAAAAATAAAGAGAATTCTAGTTAAGACAACATATATAATATAAGTTTTGTAAAGATATATCAATATTTAAACTAAAAGATTGTATTGTATATATTCCATTGTGAAAGACTAGGCTCACGTTCAATTTCTTATTTTGCACGACACCACGTACTGTGAGGTTGCTATTGTGACGTAGCGCAATGAACCTTGGGTATTGTGTGTATGATTTGTTTTATTTTATGTTACCATTGTGACGTTGTGTCTTGAATTCAAGAAATATTCAGCATTGTGCGGGGGATACCACTGTGGCGCACCGCAATATAACAGACAGTTCGTGTATACTACATTTATGGTTGTTGTGTGAGTGATTATAGAGCCGTCTTGTACTTACGTTTACTGTTTCAAAATGGCGCCCGGTGGATGTATACGATGCTCGTTTTGGTGGCGACTTATTTTCGTTCTTTTCTGGTTGAATAGTGTCTACAGTCGTAAGTAATATATTATCATATTTCATATCTTACATATGCAAATATATTGTGCTATGCTATCGTGCAAAATATGATTATATCTGTATTGTTTCGTTGGAATTTACTTTCCCGTAGTCTGTCATCCGGCCATGTTAAGTGTTGTTGAAATATACCACTTTATAAGTAAACAAGTATACCACTCATTTCGCCACTCATGTTTACAATTCGATATACACCCGTAGTACAGTTAATTTCAAAGATTCGTTTTTAAATCAAATAGAACCACTGTGATCTTAAGTCTTTATACATAATATAAAGGTAGAACAATAGTTATGACCTAATGCATTACAAAAACGTAGAGGAGATATACAAGTGGTGTCGAATTGTATCACGCATAAGCCTCGTGTCGTAAAGTAGCCTATATTCGGAGTGCACGATAATGTCTTGCAATATTATTATTAGCTTGAAATTATATGACGATAGTCAAATTATATTTTGCTGTAAATATGAATTTTGTTTCATGCAGGCACTTCCACGAACTTAAAGTTATTGTGAAAAACATTTAGTCCCAATAATATGTACGTATGCATTTGCATTATTGATAATTTGTAATAGGGTGGTGTTTATTATCAGGCGGAAGAATATAGCAAACAAATCCTATTTCGATATCATCATATCAAAATATCATTCCACTCTGAATCCAGTGCTGTAAGCTCTCAACGCCCCTTCGTGTGTTCTCTTGTATCTTTATTTGCTTAAATTAAAACATAAAACTGGTACTATCCAATCATCATAAACAGCAAAGACTAAGTAAATCATTGGATTTAGACTAGATGAGACAACATTCCTGCAGGTTTAAGCTTTTAAACAGGAAAAGATAGGAGTTAAACGTTCAATTTATTCCAAGTAATAATTATCCACAAGTTAAAGATATTGTGTCTTTTTTGCAGCCAACATTAAACTATGTATACCTTGCAGGAATTATGAATATGTCATTTATGTCCTATCTGTGAAATTTAAACATTAGCCGTGCCCTAGTATTCAAATTATGCAAGGAAACCCGTTTACTTTCTAGACTTTCCTGTCAGACACTATTAAGTGACTGACTCTAATTTGTATTCGGTAATAACTTACATAAAATGAGCTGTACCAGGTACATGAGCATTTGTCTACATCGATTAAACCCACTACTTGTAATGGCCAAAATTAAACTGATTGAATATTTGTGCACACAAAACGTACAAGGGTCTGAAAATAAGACTATTACTTAGGTAATTGCAATTACTTATGTCGATTCGACAACTAATGTTTGTTATTTTCCCACAACAAATTTCGTCTGAAGGGAAGTTCTAAATAAGTATTTTTTGTCAAATGCCGTTGGAATTTAACCTTTTCATTTTTTGACCTGCAAATGGGACAGAGTACCTTAAACAGACATATAAACAGTATTACATACAATTGGTGAAGCAATAGATTAAAGGACCTAACAAGGCTATAAATTAAAAACAAATGGACAGGTTATAAATTAGCGATACGACCTTTAGGGGAAAGAATTCAAGTTAAGAACTATTTCTCAGAAATGCAGGGATCAAAGTTGTTTCATAGGCGTATAGGGCAACGGGTTGAACTGATTCGAAGCCATGCAGCCTGTTTTCGGGATTTGAGAATGCGAAAGGAAGAAGCTGATGTATATTAAAGTATATCGTTTTCAACTACTGTCATGTTATTTGCTGTTCTTCTATCACCTCCCCCCCCCCCCCTTGTATGCACGTTGTTTCTGTGTTTATTCGTTTTGTCGGTATATCGGGCCGTTTGCCTTATGTAGGTAAAACACGCCCCTTCTTTCTCCTTTTCTGACAGTCTTGGATCGGCCCCTTTAATTAAACAAAATAGTGCGGTGATGCATCTTAACGAATCCGATTCTCTGAAATTTAGAATTTAGTCGATAAACTCTTTGGACGTGTCGTTGATTGATTTTTTTTCCAAATTGCTATTTTTCTATTTTTTTTTGCAGTAAAACTCCGTGACCTATTGAAATGTGTGAAAATGACACTACCCTACTATTGTAATTGCCCTAGATTCGATTTGGGTTATATCGTATTGAATACAAACACTGTGATTGATATGCATATCAGGAATTTAAAAAAAAACCAAGGGCAGAGGTACCTGGTTCAATAGGCGTATGTTTCGGGCCTTTCC